TCTGGACCTGGTACAGACAGCTTGTGAGCTGGCACCTCACAGGGAACAGAACAGTACCAAATGTTCTTAATTATTCAGTCATGTCACCAGGTTTGTTTCTCAAGATGGGTTCTTACTTTGTAACCAAGAGTGGCCTCAAACTCATGGAAACCACCCTGCCTCAGCCTCCAGAGAGCTGGGACTAATGACATTAGCCACCAAGCCAGGCTTGGATTTGTTTTTGAGACAGGCTTTCTTTCTCTCAGTACGTAGACCAGGCTGGCCTCGAATTTATAGAGGTCTGTCTGCCTCTGCCTGTTGACCGATGGGATTAAAGGCGTGCACCACCATTTCTGTCACCAGGCTTTGGAGAGGGTTTCTCTCTGTAGTTCAGACTGAAATCTTCCTGGGTCAGCCTGAGAATTCAAAGGTGGGCCACCACACCTACGTGGAAGTCATTTTTTAAAAATTTAAATTAGAAACAATCTTTACTTATATATCAATTCCAGTTCTCTCTCCCTCCCATTTTCCCATGCTCCCTACTGCCCCCCATCCCATCCCCTTTCTGCTCCCCAGGGAGGGTGAGGCATTCCATGGGGGATCATCAAAGTCTGTCACATCATTCAGAGCAGGGCCTACAAACCGCCCTATCCCCACCCCACATGTGTCTAGGCTGAGAGAGTATCTGAGTAACCCTCTATGTGGAATGGGCTTCTAAAGTCCATTCGTGCACTAGGGATGAATACTGATCCAGTACCAGAGGCCCCATAGACTGCACAGGCCTCCCAACTGACAACCACATTCAGGGGGCCTGGTTCCGTCCTATGCTGGTTTTCCAGCTGTCAGTCTGGGGTCCATGAGCTCCCACTTGTTCAGGTCAGCTGTTTCTGTGGGTTTCCCCAGCCTGGTCTTGACCCCTTTGCTCATCACTCCTCCCTATCTGCAATCTGGATTCCAGGAGTTCTGCTCAGTGCTTAACTGTGGGTATCTGCTTCTATTTCCATCAGCTACTAGATGAGGGCTCTAGGATGGCATATAAGGTAGTCATCAGTCTCATTATAGGGAAAGGGCATTTAAGGTAGCCTCTCTACTATTGCTTAGATTGTTAGTTGGGGTCATCCTTGTAGATCTCTGGACATTTCTCAAGTGCCAGATTTCTTTAAACCTATAATGGCTCCCTCTATTATCTCTTTTCTTGCTCGTCTCTACTCCTTCCCTGACTCAGTCTTCCTGATCCCTCATGTACTCCTCTCCCCTCCTCTTCCCCCCTCCCCTTCTCTTTCTCCTAAACCCCACCCCCCACTCTGTGCTCCCAATTTGCTGAGGAGATCCTGTCCCTTTCCCCTTCTCCAGGGGACCATGTATGTCTCTTAGGGTCCTCCTTGTTTCCTAGCTTTTCTGGCAGTGTGAATTGTAGGCTGGTGATCCTGTACTCTATGTATAACATCCATATATGAATGAGTACATATCATGTTTGTCTTTTTGTGACTGGTTACTGAAAAGATGGAAAAATACAGCCTAACTCTTCAATGACCACAGGAAGCTAGACGTTTAGAAATACTATCTAAAAAGCCCTAAAAACCTCAAATTCCAGACCCTGTCCTCTGCCAGTAAATAGGCCCTTGAGTACCTAATCCTGATAACAGAAAATAAGCTGGCTAACGCTTATCTGACTTTGTAAACTGCTTGTGAAACCCCCTCCCTAGTGACCTATGTGTGGGCTTTGTTGTAAACCCTATAAAAACTGTCTCAATTCTGTCCTCGAGGTCCTCAGTCTAATGACTGTGGACCCCAGTGCACTTGGAAAATTCCTTATGCTATTTGCATCGAGACCACTTCTTGTGAGTGATTTGGGGTGTCGCCTTTCCTGTGTGGGAGCGTGAAGGTCCACGCTCAGCGGGTCTTTCATTACCTCAGGATGGTTTGTTTCTAGTTCCATCCATTTGCCTGTGAATTTCAAGATTCCATTGTTTTTTTTTGTTTTTTTTTTGTTTTTTTTTGTTTTCTGCTGAGTAGTAGTCCATTGTGTAAATGTACCACATCTTCTTTACCCATTCTTCAGTTGAGGGGCATCTAGGTTGCTTCCAGGTTCTTGCTGTTACAAATAGTGTTGCTATGAACATAGTTGAACAGATGTCCTTATTGTATGAATGTGCATGCTTTGGGTATATGCCTAAGAGCGGAATTGCTGGATCTTGAAGTAGATGATTTCCATTTTCCTAAGGAACCGCCATACTGATTTCCAAAGTGGCTGTACGAGTTTGCACTCTCACCAGCAGTGGAGGAGTGTTCCCCTTTTTCCACATTCTCTCCAGCATAAACTGTCCTTAGTGTTTTTGATTTTAGCCATTCTGACAGAAGCAAGATGGTATCTAAGGGTTGTTTTAATTTGCATTTGTAGGAGTCATTGTTAATGAGAACAAAGGCTTTAAGGATGAGAATGTCTTGGAACTGGATATAAGTGATGGCTGTGCAGTGGTTCTACCCAATGCCACTGTCCACTTTAAAACAGTTAATAGGCCAAAAAATGGTAACGTTTTAACTCAAAATTCCGGGAGTAAGGAACTACTAAGTACACACAGTCATTCAGCTGTAGTCCCAAGTCTATGAGCCACCCTTTCAACAGTGCCAAATGGCTTAGTAAGAAACTGTGAAGGTGGGCCAGGTGTGGGTGGCACACACCTTTAATCCCACAGGAGGCAGAGGCAGGGGGATTTCTGTGAGTTCCAGGTTAGCCTAGTCTACCAAGTCAGTTCCAAGACAGGCTCCAAAGCTACAGAGAAACACTGAAAAAAACAACACAAGACTCATCAATTCACATACAACAAATCACTGTTTAACTTTTGTTGCAGATAGGAGTAATATTAACTCCTCACCATTAATGAGAAAGCCTACTCTATTCTGTCAACCCCAAGAGAAGGTATTATTTTTTAAATAATTGGTGTTTTGCCTGCATGTATGTCTATGTGAGGCTTTTGGATTCCCTGGAACTGGAGTTACAGTTGTGAGCTGCCATATAGGTGCTGGGAATTGAAGCCAGGTCTTCTGGAAGAAAAGTCAATGCTCTTAATTGCTGAGCCATCTCTCTAGCTCCTTAATTTTTTTTTTTTTTTTTTTTTTTTAAGTTTTTCGAGACAGAGTTTCTGTGGGCAAACCAGGTTTACCTCAAATTCAGAAATCTGCTTCTGCCTTCCAAGTTCTGGGATTAAATGTGTGTGCCACACAGTCCCCCTGTCCCTGAGTTACCCCATTTTTCAACCCATATAATTATTCCTCATTTTGACGAGTTTACTTATCTCCACGCACAAGAATAAAACAATCCATGTAGCTTGACATTGAGTGGGGGAACACACACTGAAAATTAATGTTTCTCAATGGCAGGCTGCCTGCCTACCTAAAAAATTCTTAAGTACTGCTGTACTAGAGGCAGAGGCAGGTGAAATCTCTTGAGGTCAGCCTGGCTTACACAGTTCCAGGGCAGCCAGGACTACATAGAGAAGACTGGTCTTAAAAACTTCGTAGTCTATTTTTCACACTGCTGTTCAATTGTCAACTTTCTTTTTTTCTTGGTAGCCCCAATACTTTGAAGGCTGAGGCAGGGGAGCTGCATAGCATAGGGAGACTGTCAAAAACAAAGCTGGAGAGATGGCTCACCAGGTAAGGGGGCTGGCTGCCAAACCCGATGACATGAGTTGGATCCTTGGGATCCATGACACTGTGGAAGGGAGGTTCCCCACAAGTTGTCCTCTGAACTCCATGTGCACACCATGTTATGTTCATGTGCTCGCACACTGTTAGAAAAGAATTCTGCTTGCCATAGAGCCCTACGTTCCACTCCCAGGATAACATTCAGTTTGCTTCTACACAGCAGCAATGGACAGAAGTTGTTTCAGTGGCATCACTTTATTGCTTATTAAGTTTTGACATTGATATTCCCATCACAGTTCATCTTATATCCCAGTAATGCTCCTTGACAGAAGTGCTGATGGAATTGTTGCAGTATTTTATTGCCTCTTTTATTGTAATTTCCCACTGGTTCATGTTTCCAAGATATGAACTGTGTATAGTCAAGGACAGGCACAGCATTCTAATTTCAAAAGAGAAAAATCATCATTCTGATCCTATCAACCTGGTACATGCTACCTTAAGACATGCTAAGCCTTCCTTTCTCAGATTCAGAACTGCCAAAGGAATACTACTTGCTTAAAATGGAAACATCTTCACTAACTGTATGAGTTTTTTACAGATAGATCCCATCTAAGGAAATTTATTATGTTTCCCATTGATGGAGTAATTTCATGTTTTCTTCCTAAATACTAAATAGGTAGAGATGGAATTAAGGGGAAAAAAGCTGTAAAATCCCACATTAGTGGAGAGGTGGAACACAAAGAGGTAAAACACAAAACTAATTAGCAAGCACTGAACGCGGAGAACCAATGCCCTTGGCAGTGTCATCATTCTAGAGGTTTAGGCGGGTATGCTTCCTATGGAACAGCACGAAGGGCTTTTCCAGACCTCTCAGACCTCATGCACAGGCCAAGGTCATTGCAGTGACAGGACAGATGTCCAGTGCTAACAGGATGCTGCCATGTCTGGTAAGGAACATACAATACAGTGTATTATAAAAACCAAAGCCCAGCATGGATGTATATACATGGTCCCAGTGCTCCAGAGGCTGAGACATGAGGATTAAATTGAGGTCAGAGTGAGGAAGCAACATGCTATCTCAATGCCAAGCTCCAAAAAAAAAAAAAAAAAAAAAGTCTGCTCATAGGCAGGACCATTTCCTGGACAGACAGATGTCGAGAGTGCACAATCTCAGCTCTCATCCACATGGATGATTGAACCATATGTCCCACACCACAAGGGAATCCCTCCTAAAACAAACAAACAAAAAAAGAACTACAAAACCCACAACCCCTCCAAAAAAATTAAGCAAGTTATATTCTTTATCAAGCTGTTTTCCAAGCAAACAACAACAAAAATCTCGACAAAACAAAACCCCACATTCTGTCAGTTGCTGTATTTAACAAGTATCAAGAAGGTCTTTTATTATTGTAACTGCAGTGCACAAACAGCCATCAAAGGCCACTTGGGAAAATGATTTACCTCTTTTTGTATTCTAACAGAGGTGGGAAGCCATCCACTGTATAGCATCAGCCCTTGAGGTATATTGGGAAGGAAATGGCTGAGTCTTTCCACCCAGTAACACACACCCTAGTACTGCCCATAAATCAGAGATAACACACACCCTGAAACAGGGAAGAAAAGGTCATTCTGTGGGAGTATCCTTAGAGTCTGCATCAGCTGGTCCCACTTCATCGTCCATGATCCCTGGGATAGCTGTAACAGGTATGGTGCTCTCTGTTTCTGCTGCTGGCAAAAAGGCCTCACTTCTGGCCTTGTCTTCAGTGTTCCCATTTTCAGATGCTGTTTCACAGGTTTGCTCTTCCAGCGGCTTTTCAGTGTGGGGGTCACACCTGGTCTCCACAGCACCTTCCACTTCATCTAGGACTTCATTACGCTCTGTAGCTGGTTCTCCTTCCCCCTCTACAGCTCTCACCGCTGCTGTGATCACCTCTGCTAAGACTTCTGCAGCTATCTCCTCTGGTGTCTCTTCTTTCTCCTCTCCTCCTACATTTTCATCTCCTTCTGTCTCAAGATCACCTGTCTCATTGGCAAAAGGATCCTCACCCTGGACAAAGAGGAAACACAAATCAGTGCTAGAGACAGAGAGGCCCAGTATGTGAGGAGCTCTTGTTTTTAGGAACAGAGGTTGCAAAGCAACATACTATAGCAGTACTGTAGCTTTCAGCTCTCAAAGCTTACACATTCAGAGTTCTATTGCTTCTATTATTGAGAATTTCACACATATAGAAGTACTTTATTTACACTATTTTCTTTTTCCTTGCTCCAACTCCCCCCCCATGTTTCCCTCTCTCTGCCCTCAAATTCATGTCCTCTTATTTGTTAATCGTCACACACATTCTGTCCTCACACATGCTAAACAAGTATACCACCACTAGTGCTACCCAGACTCTATTGCACTGTTTTCAGCTTGTTATTATGGCCCTGGCTGGTCTCTAATTCAGTAATCTTCTTGCATCTGGCTCCTGAGTGCTAGGCATCATAGGTGGGTGCCACCACATAACCTTCTTTATTACTTTTGACTTCTGCACCCAGTCTGGTGCTTTCTACAAAACACATCACCAGCATCTGCCTAGTACTTTACAGCTAGACAATCATGGCTTTTTGGGGGTGAATCTGAGCAGCAATGATTGAGCCATCTCCTAACAGCACCACAAGGTCACAGACTGGCAGGTACCAAGTCTCTAGAACCCCCCCCCATTGTCACAGATCCAGCTCTCATGTATTTTTAATATTCATTTTCCCCCCAAAATTCAGAAATTTTAGCCTGGTATGTGGCACATGACTTTAATCCTAGCACTCAGGAGGCAGAGGCAGGTGGATCTCTACGAATTCGAGGCTAGCCTGGTCTACAGAGTGAGTTCCAGGACAGCCAGGGCTGTTATAAAAAGAGGAACCTTGTCTTGGAAACAAACATATATATAAAAATTCAGAAATGCTAAACACTTTAGTCTGGCTATATTCCATACAAATCACTCCCAAGGCTTTTCTGGCTCACTAGATTCACAAATACAAACCTTGAGGTATTTTTCCAGCATCTTCACTATATGTTTGTTGTTCAAAACACTCTTAGCCACATGGAGACTTGTTTTCTTGAACTGCTCAGCAGCCAACTGTAAAAAGGCAACCGAAAAGCTTTTTATAATAGCCAAGAAAAACCAGGACTAGCCAGCATGTGTGATGGTTAATTTAATTGTCACTTGACAAAACCCAATCACCTGAATTAGAGTGGCAATGCTGTACTGTCTAGATCAAACTGGCTTGAGTCACCCCTGAGTTTGTAAGGAGAGGGAGCTAGCTGAGTAACAAGCATGCATGGACTATAGATGTGACAATCGACTTCCTTGAAATGACGCATTATAACCTGGAATTGTAAACCCTTTCTTCACTAAGTTGCTTTTGGTCAGGGTATTTTTTTTTTTTTTTTAATTCTTCTCTTATATATTACATACAGGCTGAAGTTTCCCCTTCCTTCCCTCTCCCAGATCCACACCCTCCCTCTGCCCTCCCTCAGAAAAGAGCAGGCCTTCCAGCAACATCAATCAAACAGGGCACAATACCAAGCACATACCATCATATCAAGGCTGGCCAAGGTAACTCGGTAGAAGGAAAAGGATCTCATAAATAGGTAAAAAAGTCAGTGACTGCCCCCACTCCCACTGTTATGTGTCCCACAAGAACACCGAGCTACTCAGCCACAACATATATGCAGAGGACCTAGGTCAGACTCCTACAGGCTCCCTGATCTCTGTGAGGCCCCATGAGTCATGGTCAATTGATTCTGTGGGACATGTTAGAGTATTTTATCACAGTAAGAAATGAAAACTAGGACACTATGCCAAGCTGTCATGACATGCAACAGCCATCTTTCTTCATTTTGGAGGAATACTCAAAAAGCCAAATATGAAAGAAAATACCAGAGAGCCCCTGTGCAACTTAAGTAGAAAAGTTGTACTCTAAGACAAAAATAGCTATGACACTAAGACCATGCATTGTATGCAGAGGTTAAGACTAAGGAGGGAGCACTTAGGCATGGTAGTGCATACCTTTAGCTTCAAGGATAGTCTGATCTACATGGCAAGTAGGCTGTCCTGTAGGACAGCCAACCTTATTTAGTGAGACCCTGCCACAGAAGGTAAGTTGTGTGGACTACACAGGGGAAAACGGCAAATCCTCTATCTATCTATCATCATCATCATCGTAGCCCTCATAGTAAATCTCAGCAGTACTGACTGCCAAGCATTGGTGCACATGTTTGAGCTCAGGATCTACAAAGTTAGATCTCAAACAACAACAACAACAAAAACAGCTGTTGATGGACCACTTGACTGCTTTGGGGCTTATTTTTTCATATACTAGCCCCTTGCCTATAGACTACTGTTCTGCTGATCTCTGAAAGCCCTAAGAGGAACTGGAGAGATGGCTTGGTTGGTTCTTAGCACCCATACAGCAGCTCACAACTGGAGTCTCTGCAGTTCAGGGATCTGGAGCTTTTCTGACATTCACAGGCAACAGACACCCACATGGTACACAGATACACTAACAAGCAAAACAATCATACACTTAAAATAATAAATCATCGGGTGGTGGCAGTGGAAACCTTAATTTCAGCATTTGGGAGGCAGAGGCAGATGGATCTGAGTTTGAGGGCAGTCTGGTCTCCAAAGAATGTTAGTTCCAGGACAGACAGAGCAGTTACACAGAGAAACTCTGTCTTGAAAAATTGAAACCAGGGGGCTGGAGAGATGGCTCAGTGGTTAAGAACACTAGCTGGTCTTCTAGAGGCATTGAGTTCAATTCTCAGCAACCACACATGATGGCTCACACAACCATCTGTAATGAGATCTGGTGCCCTCTTCTGGCTCACAGGGATACATGTAGACAGAACACTACATATAATAAATACATCTAAAACAAAACACTATATATAATAAATACATTTAAAACAAAACAAAACAAAACAAAAAAAAAAAAAACAAAACCTCAAGCAGTAGGAGATGGGTAGGTAACCACTGGTACTGTAACGTGAATGGGATGCTAGCTACAGCAGCTGTATCACACAGCACAGATCAGATGTTCTGGACCAGCAGAGCCCTTCTTAACTGCAGGGAACTTCCTGGTCCTTTCAGATAACAAAACATTCAAATAGCCTATAAATTGAACTGTGCATCTGCATAGGATCTATGTGTATCCTCCCTATACTTTAGATAACTTATAAGCCTAACATAACTCTGTGCAAACAGCTATGATAAGGTATTAGTTGGGGAACATTAGAGAATTGCAGTGTGAGCTGGGTGGTGGTGGCGCACACCTTTAATTCCAGGAAGCATAGGCAGGTAGATCTACAGCTTGGTGTACAGAGCAAGTTGCTCCAAAGCTACATAGAGAAAACCTGTCTTGAAAAAACAAAACCAAACTAAAGAACCCAAATAACAAAATAAATAAGTAAATAAATAAAAAATTGCAGGGTGTTCAGTACAGTTGCAATTCTACAATATGTCTTCAATCCCCCACTGGTTCAATCTGTGATTGTGGAATTCACAGATAAAGGCTAACTCTATGATCAGATATTTTACAAAAGAAACAATAACAACAGCAAAACTGTGCTAACCCTGGGTCAAGCCTTCAGCCTCAGCCTCATCATAAAGCAAAAACCAAAACAGAACTAGAATCTAGGTTGGTTACCTAGGCCACTGGGTTCTGGATGGCTCTTAGCCTCACCCCACAGAAATCCAATTTTTCAGTAACTGAGAAACTTCAGTGTGATTTGTAGGCAACTGCTTCAATTCAGAATTTCAGCTACTATATATAGCCAACCCACCCCACCCACCGAATTTCTATGCCCCTCCCCCAGGAGAGGGGCAGGATGGGCTTGGAAGCATACACCCTCTAACCCTTGGAAGCAGAGGTAGGTGAACCTTTTGAGTTCCAGGTCAGCAGGGACTACCCAGTGAGAACATGTCTGAAACAAGAGAACAAGAGAGAATGAAAGTCTGTCTCTCAACTCAGCCTCCAAGTAGGTGGGAAGCCCAACTTGTATTTTCAGTAAGATGACAGGCTCACTGCAAGACCTGCTAGTGATGTGAGCATTCCTGGGATAACAGTAGGGTCTAACCTCATTCAACTGGCAGCAGAGGCATGGTCACTCCAGGAGCCAGCTTGCATCAAAAGTAGACTTACCCTCCGATTATGGTTATGGTCCACAGAGTGCAGATGCCGCTGGAGGAGCTGGTGCTGTGCAGGAATCAGCATGTCACAGGCCAAGCAGTGTGCGGCTTCAATCTTCTTGAAGAAATGTTCCTGGCCAATCCCTGGAATGGAACCCAAATATGCCGCTTTCTCCTTTTCAGCAAGGTCCACACTGTCTCCCTCTGCCACCCTCTACAGACATCATTAGGACAGAAGCTGGGGGGGGGGAGGGTTCATATATATATTCCCTAAGAGACATGTCCTCACTGTGAGGAGTGTCATCCATGGCTCATCCTTCCAGCTGAGTCTACATCAAGTAGAGAACAGCAGCTTGTTTCACATCACTCTGGTAAGCAGTTATTGAGCTGTGTTCTCATTTCACTGCACCTAGGGTTTCTTTCCACTAAGTGCTTTCCCCATAGGACATGGAAGTCCTGAGCTATCTTTGCATTTTTTTTTGTGTTTGAGTGTAGCTTTGGAGTCTGTCCTGGAATTCTCTGTAGATCAGACTGGCCTTGACTTCAGAGATCTGCCTACCTCTGCCTCCCTAGTGCTAGGATTAAAGGCATGTGCTGCCACTGCCCAGCTGTTTTATTAAAACAAAACAAACAAAAAACCCAAACTTGTATTTCATTTGCATGTATGTCTGTTCACCAGGTGTGCCTGGCACCCAAGGAAGCCAGAAGAGGGCATTGGATACCCTAGAATTGGAGTTCTAGACAGTTGTAAACTGCCATGCTAGTGCTGGGTATCAAATCCAGGACCTCTGGGAGACCAGCCAGTTTTCTGAAATGCCAAGGCTCTATTTTTCATGGTGTAGGGATTAAACAAGGCATGCTAGCTAAGTACTGTAACATATACAAGCTTCTGCACATCTTTTTATTCTTCAATCTATTTATGCGTACAGATATATGTATGCCTATGTACACAGAAGACAAAAGGAGGTACTGGAGCCATAGATGGTTGTGACTGTGGTAACTGGAGCTAAACCTGAGTCATCTGAAAAGAGCAACCAGCCCACATGGAGCCATGTTCTGCTCCTTTCAGAGCATCTAGAATAAATAACTTGGACACTGGGATGGCAACTGACCTTTGAATGGATCTGGTTTGGATTTAGGGCTTTCCTTCTCCAACAATTCCTGACGCCGCTTCTCAATTTTCTTATTCCTATTTATTATGTACTCCTGGAAGGATGGAGAGATGCCACCAAATGAAATGAGAACACACTATGCAGGGTACTTATTTCTCAACTACACAAAGGGCGAGAAGATGCCACTGTGGTAGCTCCACAGGCAAAACCTGTGACATAGGAACACATACAGTTTAAATTTGGGAAAAGAAATTGGATCATGTTTAAGCCTCTTATTCCCCTTAACCCTTGAAGGCCCCTAACACTTGCATTGCAGGGTTTTCTACCAACACTGCAGCATCCTTTACCTGGAGGAATTCCACTGTCTTGTCAGGCAGTTTAGTACTTATAAACCGCAATGTCTCTTTGTGAAATTTACTTTGCAGATGCTTTTGGATTTCTTCATCTTCAAAACTACGAAACTTGCATACAGAACAGGCAAACTGAATCCTAGAGAGGGAACAAAGAAGGCAGTGGGATCACCAGCTCGTTTCTGGGTACAGAAATGTAAAAGAAAAGGGATTCTTGTCTTTAAGGGAGACAAGAATGTCTTCCAGTCTGTCTCTCAGGTGTTAAGCCAATAAGCCCAGCTAGGAAATAACTTATTGAACTGTCTGAAGAGTGGGATACAGTCTTGCAAACATTTCCTGAAAATGACATCAATTGTTCGGGGATGAAAGAGAACTCTCTAAAGTGAATGAAAAGGCCTTTTGAGCGACTGAGAAACTACTAAAGAGCTGCGGGGCTGACATTTCCTGCTGCAATTCCATTCTCCTCTCTGACAATCTTTAGTTTTTCGAGACAGGATTTCTCTCTGTGTAGCTTTGGCTGTCCTCAAACTCACAGAGACCTGGCTGCCTCAGCCTCAAAAGTGCTGGGATTAAAGGTGTTTACCATCATGCATGGACCTCTCTGATGATCTTTAAAACCCTTGGTTATTAGGCCACAAACGCAATTTAGTTATTAAAGCATTTAACTGGTATGCACTGGGTTCTATCCCTAACATCACAAAAAACATCATCTCACCCTCTGACTGGCTTGAAAACAGACCCAAACCTTCTCATGACTTAGAAGTCTGCCTGCTTGTGTGTGTGGGTATACACACCTATCCGGATTCTAGAGGTCAGATGTTTTATCATTCTCCACATTATTCCTTTAAGACAGGGTCTCTCACTGAACCTCGAGAGCTATGCTACCAGCCAGCAAATCCCTGTGATCCTTCTGTCTCATCCCCCAGTGTTCAGGTTACAGAGGTACATGCCTATGCTTGGCTTTTCTTGTAGGTGCTGGGAATTTGAAGTTAGGTCCTCAAGCTTACATAGCAAATGCTCTTGTTTACACAACCATTATCACAGACCAAATGGCTTTTTAGACATTTCATTAATTGGGGGTGGGGGTGGGGCATGTGTTTTTGTAGGTCAGAGGACAATCTGTGAGAGTTGGCTCTCTCCTACCATGTGGATCCCAGGAATCAAACCCAGGTCTCCAGGTGTGCTACAATTGACTTTATCCACTGAATCATCACACCAGTCCAAAATCAAATGTTTTGATGAGCTTCTAGGAAAAGATGGCTTTGTGTTTTGCTCTTAGATTCCTAAGTTTGAAGTATTTTTCTCTCTTTTTATTTCTGAGACAAGGTTTCTCTCTGCAGTTTTATAGATCAGGCTGGCCTCGAACTCACAGAGATCTGTCTGCCTCTGCCTCCAGAGTGCTGGGATTAAAGGTGGGCGCCACCACCCAGCTGCTAGGCATTTCTCTACACAGGAAAATTATGATAGTACCCTCCTAAGATGAAGGGTTACAGTCATCTTCATAAGCATGCTGTGGCAGATATACACTCATATGAGGGGGGGAGAGAAGACACCTCTCTGCACAAACACATGCCCTACCCCATAATAAATAAATAATGTAAGAGGTCATTTGGTCTGGGGGAGAGATGGCTCTGTAGGTAAGACCACCTGCTACGTAAGGACAGCGATAAGAAGCCACACATACTAATATAGCCACTAGTGACTCTTGATTTCTAGCCAGTAGCTGTGTAATGAATCATGAGGGGCAGACTCATGGTGCATCAAGGCAGCATTTTACCATTCTTCTATTTTGAAACAAAATCTGGCCAGTAGAATTCCACACACATGTATTCTCACTCTACTGAATTTGAGAGATTGTCTAGCTTTGGACAGGGAACCTCCTCTTGCCACCTCTGTTGAATGAAGGTCACTTTCTGGGAGGCTGAATGTCAAGTCAGCAGACAGACTGGGCAGCCCTTGAGCCTACTGAGGAGGAAAAGAGCCCTCTGATGGGCATGTCTGAGCCCCACAGTTCTAGCCTCAGGTGAATTCTCTGAGCAAAACCAGACAGCTAACTATACCCATCTTTCACACACTTCTCTATGTTGTAGCCCCAATAACCTGGCTAAGACTTCTTGATGGATGTTACATCAAACCAAACTCCTGTGAATTACAGAGGGAGGACTGGGTGAGCTTGGAGAGGTTGGAAGTGCCCAGACTCAACTAATTACCTTCAGTGGAGGCGATCTTTAAGTAGCCAGTCAACCTGCCTCACTGGCCCCTTACCTGTCAGCTGCTCGGTCCCGCATCCGGTCTCTCCTCCTTTGCTTCTCCCGCCTCTTCTTCACATCCTCGTCCTCATCTTCCTTTTCTCCTGTAACAGAAAAGTGTCCTCGAGACACTGAGGAGCCTGCAGGTGAGGCCAGCTCCAGGGCCAAGTTAGATGCTGCAGCTTGGCAGCCACACCTTGTACCCAATTTCCATTTCTTTTGTGGCAGAGCCAGGGTACCCCAGAGGCTCCTGATGTACCAGGACCTTTGATGAGAACCCAGAGGAGTTGCCTCACTCCGTCTATGGCCTGATGGGCAGAGGCCCATCCCACTCATGGCCACTACTCTGTTCTGTCCTAGCCTACTGGTCCAATATAGCACTCTTGTTGTTGGGTCTTCTCCCAAGTCATTCAAAGAGCAGCAAATAACCCACAGAGGCAGCAGTTGGAAGGCCTCAAGAAATAAAGCAAGCTGCACTGCCACCCTCCATCCCACCTCTAGGTGGGCTGAGGTGACCATCCAGTTGGCCTCACCTGAACTAAGGACTCAGCAGGTCTGACAGTCCTTGCTGGTCCGATCTCTATCTTCCACTCACAAAAAAAACCTTGGACTTTCCCAGGGCTGAGTGGGAAGCAATCCTAAAAATAAAAATGGGAAGAGACCAATTGGTCCTCCCATCCATTCTTTGGGGCTGGCATAGCTCCCAGAAGAGCCCTGCGGCCAGCATCTCAGCACAAGAGCACACTGGATCCCTAGGCTCAGGGCCAGGGCTGGATGCTGAAAAAAGGTTGGATAAGCATCTGAACTGTAACCCCTACCCCTGATGCCAGTCCCGAGACTGTCCCACGAAGATGGCGACCGGCGTGCGCTGCTCAGAAGCCTCTCAAAAGGACGTGTGGGACTTTTGGCAAGAGGTCACTGCCTGAAACTATGACTGCTGTTTAATAGCAAAGTCATCCCGGTTGGGTAGCAGGACCTGTGCGCAACAAACATGTCACCTTTGCTTTAGCATTTACCCGGCTGCATGAGCTGAATGCTGGGGGTGATCCCACGCTGTGGACAAGACTTTAATTTGCAGGGTGGGGACATCTGAGGATTAGCTAACCTGAGAATCTTAAAGGAATCAAGGGCCTTCACCTTATAAGGGGTGAGGGCTAGCCTGTGATCCTTGAGGGTAACCAGCTAGGTCAGGCCCACAGAACAGGGAGAAAGACCAAGCGGCTGCAGGGTGAACTTAAGACCTTGCAGCACAGGGTGCTGGAAGTCACCCTAGTGGTATAACCTTGTTGGGTTCTTACGTCTCCTGCCCTAGAACTGATCTGTTCAGTGGTTAACTGTTTTGAGATCTGGCCCTGAGAGTACTTTACAGGCCACCCTTGCAACCTCAAGACCAACCACAGCAGGTATTTGCTCTCTGTCCAAACATACCAAAGTTGCCAGTATTTCTGGCAGAGGCCAGGGCACAGACTGAGGCTCACAACTGAGAAAAACAAACAAAAAAGCTCCCAAAAATAAAAAAACCTAGATGGCAGGGATAGTGAAGATGGGCCAGAATATGGGATTAGAGAAACACACTTTCCTACCATGGGCATCACAGACACCCAGAGATAGGCTCCCCAACTCCTACTACCCGTATCTGTATCCACTGAGGCAAATGAACTCCTTTCAGGCGAATCCTGTCCCAAACATTGGACCAAAACTTTGGGGGTGGTTGCCACAGTGTAGGCCCACTGCACAGCTGCAGCTCCTCTGCCATGAGCCAAGGAGCTCAGCAATGAGTGTGGGTCAGATAGAGGAAGGCTGTATGGGATACTAGGCAATGCCTACCTCTCTGCTTCCTGGAGTCCAAGAGGTCATCCTCCTGAAAAGAGGTACATGCAGTGTTAGGCAGTGAGGTGGGAAGTTCCAGAATTCTCTATAAACAGAAGAAGCTCTAATACCTAGTGTGTGGTCTCCTCAAAGACCTTGGCCTACCAGGGTGCTGGGAAATGAGGCAGTGTAAGGGAAACCTCTTGGGATCTCCTGCCACAAAGGTGAATTCTTTTCTATAATAAACAACTTGGTTCTCTTTAAAGTGACAGACCCTGCCTCTGGAGGAGTGGTGGTAACTGTAAATTCCACACAGCTCTGTGTCACGGAACAAGAGCTCACCCACTAGTAGAAGAAGCTCTAGTTTGTGGAATTTGAATTCCAGCACTGGCAATGAGCTTTTCTAAATTTCCAAGTATGTGTTTTACATTTTAACAAATTAGGGTAAATACAGACCCAAGGATTATTTAAGCAGAGCCAATGCCTTGGGCAGGCCTAAGAGATCTGTAGAGACTTCCAGCATCAACAGCTAAGTCAACTGAACAGGGAGCAAGCAAGATTCAGAAAAGCTTCAAAGTTGTTGGTAATACCAGGTGGGGAGTGGAAGAGCACTTGAAGGGCATTGTTTAAGCCCTGGATTCTATATCCTGCCACATGAAAGAGAAAAGCTATTGAAGACCCTGTTAGCCCACCTTCACCCCTTCTCCCCACCCGACCTCTAGAAATACCTAGAGGAAATGTCCTAACATATGCAGGGAATAAGAATATCCTCCTCAGGAATGTGGTGTGGCCTGAGAACTGGTCTCTGCTGCCACTCCCCAGTGACCGGCTATCAGGAAAACAAGCTGCAGACAGAGTCAGTGGCATCCTATAGAGTCCCACTGTAGATGGCTGATGGCTAGACTCAACATTATAAAGGGGAAGAAGATGACGATGACACACACCACACACACACACTAACTGTGAGGAATGGAGGAAGGGGAAAACTGTGGTTCATATGTAACCATCCTGTATGAGAGAATTAGACATACACACTGAGAACAGTTGTTCCAGGGTGCTCCCAAGAGGTATGTGGTTGTGTGGTTGAGTCTACCAAGACAGCTATTTTCACCTCTGTGAGGAGGGAAGAAAGATAAAGGACAGAAGAAACTCCAGACACAAAGAATTTATAAAGGTGAACTCACCCCCCTGAACTCTTCATCTCCTGACCGTAGGTCACCAGCTCCATCATCTGTCAGACACAGGGAGCAAGAGGATTAGCCCCTAGGTGGGTGTGCCCCAAACTCCCTAACTCACTAACCAGACTGACAACAGGGAATAAAGCTGTATTAGTCAAACAATGCAACCTCAAGTCCTAAGCAGGCAACTGACTCATTTTACACCCACCCGGCACAGTGACCCCCAGAGCATACCGTTTTCAGATAAATCTCCTTCACTGTCAGCACGAGCCAGTTTGGCATCAGGCTCTTCATACAATGGAAACTGCTTTCGCTTCCTGCCCATGTTGTCTGGTCCAAAGCGCTCAAACCCTCTTCTTCTGGGCTACAGATACAAGCATATGCCATATACATGCTGACCTGGGCCAGTAAGATGCCCCAGAAATGAATATCAGAGTTTGCAAGGAAAGAGAGCATAGGCAGGAAAAAGCCTTTGAAAATAGAGATACTATGTTTGGAGTTCAAAGCTAGTGTCACACTTGAAGAAGCCAGACATACACGTGTGATTCTAATGCTATGAAATATCCACACCAGGCCAACCCAGGAACAGAACAGATGAGTCGGTAGAGATGATCTAAAACCAAGTGGCAAAAAGTGGAATTGCACAATGAGGAGTAAGGGCATAACTTTTACATCCATAAAGCTGTTAGGAAGAAAAGGCAAGGCCTGAGAGAAGTTGGTGAACTTACCCAATCTCGTATCCTAGTCTGGGACCGGCCATATCCATAAGGCATGGTGCTACCAAAATTGCCCACCCCCTGCATGCCCATCACGTTGTAGTCAGGGGCCATGGACTGGGAGAAGAGGGAAGGAGGTGGCCTGTTGGTGGAGGGCCCACCTAGACCACGTCCACCCATGTAGTTCAGCTCATTCCAGGTAGCGGGTAGGGGCTCCGAGGAGGCTGAGGGCGGCATGAAGGGGTCACTACGCATGAAGGTGTTGGAGTTACTCCGATCCTGGAAACGGCCCTGGCCCTGGCCCCGGCCTCTCATGAAGCCATCAAGAGAGCCCCGTTCTGGTGTCGGGTCCCGACAGTCGTTGAATGTCCCACCAAAGCTACCATTTCGGTCAGCCCCCAAGTCAAAGTCATAATCATAGCTGTAGCTAGGGCGGTAGGGATTATGCTCAGGCAAACAGGGTCTGGAGTCATAGGGCTCATAGGGCTGGAAGCGGAAGGAACTGCAAAGGAAGTATACAGCCTGTTAGGAGCAGTCAGGAGACTTGCTAAGCCACCCAGGCCACCCAATCATCAGCTCTCAGCTTAACTTCACACTAAGCTGACCGACCTCTTTACATCCAAAACAAGAAACCAAATCACACACTATCCACGGAAGTACCCAGAAGGCAAAGTAGCCCAAGACCCTCACTCAAACACCGCTAACAAGAAAGATCATGAAGCCCTTGCCAGATGAAGTCAGAGTCGGGAAATAACTAAATTAAATCAGCCAACAGCTCAGCCTTCAAGTCCTATTGCAGAAATCACCTCCCCTGTCTAAGATACAGGAGCAGGGAAGACATCTTTCTAAGAGTTGGTACCCATCCACCTCACAGTTCCTGAAAGTGACTCCACCAGGAAAGGCTTAAGGTAATAATCACCTGTCTCGGTCCTGCATGCCCTCCCCACCGCTGCTGGTCCCACCCCTGCCTCCTTCTTTGGACAACATGTCCAAGCGTTGGTTGATCTTGGCAATGAGTGAGTCAGAATTGTCCGTGCAAGGCTCAGGGGCAAAAGAGGCTATTTGCATGGCAGAGTTCCCAGCTGCCAGGCCACTATCACTGGGCTTGGTGGCCTCCCATGAGGCAGGACCGTAACTATAAGGTGCTCCTGCAGAGACAGTGGCAGTGGTGGTCTGGGCGTTGTAGTAGTTGTAGTTGTCATAACCTATAAGAAGAAAGAAGAACCATGTCAGAACTTAGCACATGAGGCTGGTCATGACATTATTGTGTTCAGGATCACTCTCTGCCTGCCAAGAAAGGAAAAGTTCATCAACATCATACCATAACACACAAGTGATCAAGACCAGAGACAGGTGGCCACAGGTTGTGGTAGCAGGTTTTCTTTAAAAGACACTAGGATTTGTTCCCTAAGCAAAGCCAGAGGTGACTATGAGCCCTGAAGCAGCAATTCAGTGACAAAGACTTCTGAAAGCTGCTGTTTTTGCACTGTATCCATAATCCCTCCCCATCAGGTTCAAACTCCGCCCTCAGGACAGCCTAGCTCTGGTACCCCTCAGCACCCAGTATCCCCTCAACTCTTAGCCACCCACAGAGCTGTGTACACAGCCAGGACAGGGAACGGGGACCTGTAACTCAGTCCCTCTGGGTGGTTGCTCAGAGTTTCACTTACCCATCTCAAAACAGCCTTCAAGTCTTACCTTGCCAGCTGGCCATACTGCTCCCATATGCACCTTAGGAGAGACAACATAGATGCGCTTCAATATCAGACTTACAGAGAGCTGTCAATTCACCACACCACAAAACAGGATGTGACAGTGGTCGCAGTGGTCCTTGGCATGCTCATGTTTTACAGAATGGGGACAAAGCATTATCAACATTTCTTTCCCAGGTAAGCCTGACTTCTCCCCTGAAAGCTAGGGAGAGAAAGGGAAACAGCAGTCCCCAGGATGCTGACTTAAACTACAATGCCAACTGAGAGGTCAGTCTGGCCTGTACCTTACAATGAGAGTCCCCTATATAGGCTCAGTTCCCACCAGGAGCCAAAACCTAGTTACTGCTAATCATACCAAGAGGGCATAATGGAAAACTACATTCTCTGCTGAACAAGAGCATATTATGTAGTATGGGTGTCCTAGAGACCACCTCCGGGGACACAAGAAGATAAACAGAAAAGTGGCTTGCCTCCAATGGTGCTAGTGACATGTCCAAGGACTGGAAAAAAAAGAAGCTTTTGTCCCTTGCAATGGGGCTGAGTGTGCCCCAGGCTCTAGACTCAGAAAACAAGGATGAGCAAAAAGCCTTGGTCATATCTAGCCCACCATTTTTTTTTAGAAAGAGTTCTTGAATTAAAAACAGGTTTTATCCCTCTAAACGGTCACAGGAAAAGTACCCCCAAACAAAAAACATTCCATGACATACCAAATATAAAAGGAAACTTACTGAGACCCTTCCAGAATTTAAAAGAAAACTGAGCACTGAGAGGGTGGTGGAGTGATACAGGCAGAATTCTATTTACTAACCAGCCTTTGCTCTCCAAACTATTCTTCCTTTTAAAAAAAGGAATTAAGAAAAGGGCAGGCAATTTTACCCCAGTGAAGGCAGATGTTGGATTCTACTAAGGGGCATCCATGATTCAACCCACTAAACAGGAACCACTTACCCTGGGTGTTGGCAGGCGCAGCACTCCATGCCCCATAGCCTGCAAAGAGACCATGTGTCAAGATTCTATCCACCACCAAGAAGATGTGCGTTCTAAGAATCTCCAGAAAGTCTAAAGGGATTTCCCTTTTCAGAAGTTAGTGTCGCCTAGTGGTAGAGGCAGGCAGATCTCTGTTAGTTAAAGGCCAGCTTGGTCTACAAAGCCAGTTCTAGGATAACCAGGGCTACACAGAGAAACTCTTGTTTCAAAAAACAAAACAGAGTAAGTGCCAACTTACAACGAAGGAATGTAATGTAGTACCCCCTCCCATCCATCCCGGAAACTACAGACTGTCCAGCTTTACCTGGCTGAGCTGGGGTCAAAGCAGAAAAATGAATGAGGAAATCAAACTTGGGAGGACCTAGGACCAGCTACCAGCCCCAGGTCATAGTGCCCACCCTACTGGTTCAGCCACCACATTAAGTGGAAAAACAGCTCAGATTGCTGCCAGAAGTGCCACATAACCGAGAAACAAGCTGGGAACTTGGTGACAAACTATAGGGTTTGTTTCCATGTAACTAAACACTCAATGCCTCAGCCAGACCTCCAGTGTTCCTTGCCTACCAAGTCACCCCAACAGCACTCACCTGGGCAGGAGGGGGTTGTACTGTCTTGTGTTCTTGGAGCCTAGCACATAGCTTTCCAGACAGCCCCTGGCTGTCAAACCACCTCACTGTTATCTCCCATTCCAGGATATTCCTTATCCACCATTAACATAGTTCCTTCAATGTGCTGACAGAACATGTGCCCAGCAAGTTCTGCCATACCTAGTAGCTACAGAGCAGAGGGAGCTGAAGCGCCTACCAACTGGTCCTGAAGCCGTTTGCCTTCTCACCTCAGCAGACTATGGCTTCCTGTCCCTGACCCACCCTGTCAACCAAGCTGTCCTTTTAACAGTAAATGAACTACCTCTGGGCACAAACAGTGTCCCCGTTGAGACACTGGTCTTTGTAATTGCGGTCACACAGTCCTAGAGAGGACTTCAGGCTGCAAGTGCTTTAACAGAGCCTAGGTAGAAAGTGGGGGTCAAAGTAGGGTTGTGAGCCAGGCGGTGGTGGCACACACCTTTAGTCCCAGCACTCGGGAGGCGGATCTGTGTTCAAGACCAGCCTGGTCTACAGAGCTAGTTCCAGGGCAGCCTCCAAAGCCACAGAGAAACCGTCTCGAAAAAAATCAAAACAAAACAAAAAAAGCTGGGTTGTGCCAGATATCTGGTGGGCAAGGCTAAGAATAGAAGACCTAGCTAGGATCTGAAAGGCAACGAACGCTGGGTTGTACTTGAAGATACCAAGCACATGTGTTCATTACACCTCAGGCCTCTGCCAAGTCCAGTTCCAGGGACCTCAAGATCCTTCCTCTAGCAGCTGTAAGTTGCTAACAATTCCCTGAGCACACTTCGAGCCCCACTCCAAGTGTTCCAACTGTCTCCTGCAGGTAAATTTAGACCCAGGAGGATCTCTTGTAGACCAGCCTGCCTCTGCCTCCCAAGGGCTGGGATTTAAAGGCGTGCGCCATCAACGCCCGGCCCAGGAGGATCTCATTCTAGAGATTAAAAGCAGGTAGATCGAGAAATGAGGTCTATTGCAAAAAGATGCTGAAATTTAATTTAGGAAAGGTAACGTTCCCGCTTTCGCCATCGTCTTGGCCCCCCTCCCTCCAGCCACTGTAATTTTATAGTTCAAGAGTTCTAGTCCCTCAGTAAACTGACACTTGGAGAAGGTAGACTAATCTGTGGTCCAGGTCGAACAGTAGGTTTTGCACAAAACGCGCAATGTCCGGCTCTTGGAGGAGTTCACCTCCCAAGAGAAGCACAGATCGCGCACACTGAAGAGACCCAAGCAGATTATTCCGGGCTGAACGCCCGCAGCCCGCAAAGCTCCGGAAAACAAGCCCCGGGGCACGTGCTCTCGTCGATGGCCGGCTGTTGATGAATTCCCGAGACTCCGCCCGCTGCCAGCCGCCTCAGACCCAGCGACCTTAGCCGGCCCCCACCCCCGCTGCGCCGTACGCCTTAGGTCCGCCCCTGAGCCGCCATTTTGTGGCGTCTTCGGAAGAGAAGGCGGGACTGAGACAGCCGGGGTGGTCGGGTCTGGGCCGCGACGAGATCCCCTAGGCTTGCGTAGTGAAAACGACCCAAGGCGCCTTCAGAAACCCGGCATGGCATCGACCTCCGCGCCTCATCCCTCCCCCACCTCCCTAGTCCTACCGGCCAATCCACACGCAGCGCCCCGGGAACGAGTGCGCGAAGGCCCAATAAGCGGCGCGCGCGCGTCCCGGCCGACATTCCGCAGGACTGGGCTGCGGCAAGTGTCCCGGCCACGGCGCAGCAGCCTTCCGTGCGTGCAAATAGTCCGTACTAACCTCCATAGCCTTGCTCCATGTCTCCAACGCGAACCGCCAGCAGACCCTTTTCTTAGCTTTTATCAGAACGCATGCGTTCAACGTGCAGTCTGCTACTGGAAAACGAAGGATTTACGTCTCTCCTCCTGAACACTATCATTGGTTGGCTCTCAGCTGAGCCCGCCCCCACCGTCCCACCTAGCCTTCCGGGTTGCTAGGCTCAGGAGTTGTGCCTCAAGGGTAAGCTAGTGCGCAAGAGCGTCCAGATTCGCGCACGCGTGCGCTGGTTTAGCGCGTCTCCTCGTGCGCAAGCGCATTAAGTCTCTGGACACTTTCCAGGGTCCCGCCCTCACTTCTCAGTTAAAGCACAAATGAAGAGCTGGTGTTGGAAAGCACTTTATTATGCTGGGCTTCGGCCTCGGCCACGCGAGCCCTGCCCGTTCTTGGTACGGGTTATGGAGCACCCCCACCTCCCTCCTCGTCGTCGTCCACGTCGAGGCCAGGGATCCCCCGGATCTGGCACTGCAGCGCCCCGCCCAGCAAGGGTACTGCGCCCTCCTCCTCTGGAGGCGGTGGAGGCGGCGGCATTGCAGTCTCTGGGGCGGGCTCCAGGGGCACTGGTGGCTGCGAGGGCACAACCTCTGCAAGCCCTGTAGCTTCTCCTGGTGTCCCCTCTTCCAGAGCGCCAGCATCCACCTCATCTTGGTCCTTCTCCTCCTCCGGGCTGTCGGTGAAAGGATTCTCACCCTGTGGAGATAGATGGGGATTTAAAAAAGAGAGTTTGGATTCACAGGGAGTGTGGGGACTAGGTCCACGAAGAGGTCCGGGCTAGGGTAGCACCTTTGCCTTTTTGCCTCACCTTCAGATAGCGCTCCAACTTCTTGCTAATGAGCTTGTTGTTGAGAATACTGCGGGCCACCATGAGAGAGGACTTCTTGGATTGCTCCATCATGAGCTATGGGTAGGGCAAACAGGGCTGTTGAGGCTGCTTTGGGAGCTCAGCAAACCCAGTTGAGGCTCATATTCTCCGCTAACTAGACCTAGCAGCTGTAAATGCACCAGGGACATAACTGTCCAGTCACTGTACACGCATGTCAGGAACTAGGACTGATACGATCTTACTGAAATGCTCCATTCATCCACACCGTATTTATTGTTTGTGAAATCTGATTTGCTTACACAGAAACGACAGTAAGTGCTAGGCCTACTGGCATAAGCTGTTAACTCCAGCTACCCAAGGCCAAATGCAAGGCCTACTTGGACTACAGAGTTCAAAGAGTAAGTGGGCAACTTAGAAAACAAAAAGATGGCGGCGGCGGTGGGGTGAGGTAGACTGGAGAGATGGCTCAGGTTAGATTTCCAGCACCCATAACAGTGGCTAATAGTGATCTCTAACTCCAGTTCCAAGAATCTGGTAACCTCTTTTGGTCACCATAGGCAACCACGCTCTTGCATAGTGAGCATACATATATGCAGACAAAACACAGAAAACAATAAATAAAAAGTAAAAAAAGGGGGGGTAGGAGCTGGAGGAAATAGTTCAGTGATAGACTGCTTACTTAACATTCCTGCAGCCCTAGGTTCAATTCACATACATCCCCAATACAGGTGTGATAAAACCTAGTAAAAGTAAAATGTAAAAACCATAAAGGGGCTAGCAAGATGGCTCAATGGGTAGAAGCATATGTTACTAAGCCTGACAAATTGATGAATTCCCAGGTGCCACATGGTAATGAGAACCAACTCCTTCGAGTTGTCCTTTGACACACACACCCCCCACATAAATAACAAGGAGCAAATTGCCCTAGCACACAAAGAGGTTTTTTTTTGTGTGTGTGTGGGTTTCCTTCCTTCCTTCCTTCCTTCCTTCCTTCCTTCCTTCCTTCCTTTCTTTTTAAAGACAGGGTTTCTCTGTGTAGCCCTAGACATCCTGGAACTAGCTCTGTAGACCAGGCTGGCCTCAAATTCAGAGACATGCCTGACTTTTTCTCCTGAGTGCTGGGACTAAAAAGGTGTCCACCACCATGCCAAAGATGCCTGAACTATATAGTCAGTTCCAGGACAATTTAGGCTACATAAGACTCTGCATCAAAAACACAAAAACAAGGAATACAGACGAAGTTATATTTAAATGTTGTCCATCTTTTTTGTTTGTTTTTTTGTTTTTGTTTTTCCAGACAGGGTTTCTCTGTGTAGCTTTGGAGCCTGTCCTGGAACTCACTCTGTAGACCAGGCTGGCCTTGAACTCACAGGGATCCACCTGCCTTTGCCTTCTGGGACTAAAGGCCTGTGCAGCCACCACCTGGCATTGTGTAACCTTTTAACCCACAGGATTTGGACATAAAGAAACATAAAACAGTGAGGCTGAAAAGAGACACTTCTCTACTGGTGGATCAATTGGTTACAGATGTTGAAAAGCTGTTTGATCAACTATACAAGTACAAATTTGCCTCAGTAATTCCTATCCCAAAGTTTAAAAGCTAAAAATGTGCACATTTACTAGTTGTAGGGGTAAAGAATTGGGAAGCATTTATGTTCTTTAGTGGAGAAGTAGGTAAAACACTCTAAAACAACACCCTGCAGCTCCTCCTCCCACAGTCTGGGCCTTTGGTTTTGTTTTGTTGAGACAAGGGCTTGTTGTGGTAGTTTAGAATGTTTTGGTTTTAGGGGGCTTGTTTTGTTTACTTAGGATTATTTTTGCTTGTTTGAGACATTTTGTAGGCCAGGCTGGTCTGAGCTCACTATGTAGGTCATGCTGGTTTCTCTATGTTGTAGCAATTCTCTTGCCTCAGTCTCCCAAATGTTGGGAACATCTGAATATGCCTGGTTTATAAACTGGCTCTGTTTTTGATCCTCTTGGCCTTCTTAGTGCTGGAATTACAGATTTTCACTATCAGTCTAAGTCATTTTGTCTGGAAGACTTTTTACATCAATATGCTGGGTCATTTCTTCAGAGGTAGGAGTACAAACATGATTATTAAGTCAATGAAAGTGAATTGGTTTTCTTTTTCCATCATGTGTGTACCAGGGCTCAAACACAGGCTGCCAGGCTTGGCAACAAGTACCTGTACTCACTGAGCCACCTCAACAGCCCTCAGAGTTTTATTTATACATTTTATCTATTAGTAGACTGACTGTACCCAAGGAACAGGTTAAGGTTATACAACCAGAATACTAAAGTTCCACAGTAATTCTCACTGGTCAACACACTGTCCTATATTCAACCCCCATGTGTCCAGAAGTTGTAACATGGCTGTTTCCATAGTGATCAAACATGAGAAATACTTTTAAAAAATCCTGTACAACTTATATTTCTTTCAGACTGGAGCTTTTACTTCTAACCATATAAGTATCCCAAGTGATAGTGACTGATTATCTAGCACTTCCTGTAGCTTCTAGTCCAATGTGCCTCACACTTAATAGCACTAGCCTTAAAACGACTGACTATACAGCACTCAGGAGGAAAACAGCCTGACCTGCTCAGTGGGGATGCAAGTGTAATACCAGCTACTGCAGAAGCAGAGGCAGAAAGATGAGGTGAACCCAAAGGCATTGGTTGTTATGTTTTTGGTGTTATATAAAAAGAAAGCTTTGCTCTTCTAGTGCCCTGGCCACCAGCAACCCTATGTACTCTGATGTACACGCCAAAATTGTCTGTGAGTTTCCATAAGGTTAACTCTCCTTAGCTTCTAGATTGCTTGGCCTGCTCAGGAAGATTTATTTGAACAGTCAAGGTAAACATATGATCTAATTTTCTCTCTGATCGCCTGATCTTTTATTTTTCACATTTAAAATCTCTAGAATTCAATACTTGGTATGAAGCAGGGCTACAACTTTTCCACAAGTTTATAAAATACATTTAGTATTTTCCTACTAAACTGAAATATAGGTCTATAATCCTATTTTTTTTTTTTTTTTCAAGCTAAAGTTTCTCTGTGTAGTCCTGGCTGTTCTGGAACTTGCTCTATAGTCCAGGCTGGTCTCAGATCTGTCTGCCTCTGCCTCCAGAGTGGTAGGATTAAAGGTGTGTACCACCACTGCCCAGCCCAGTCCTCCTTTTTTTTTTTTTTTATTTAAATAAATTTAAAATCCGGGGCTAGGATGTAACTTGGTGAAACAATAGCGATAGTATGTGTAAGACAGTGGACTTGATTTCAGCACCACCCCCCACAGACACCCTCACACTTCCATAAGGGCTCTAGAGAACAAGCACAGCCTCACAGCTTCTAAAAGGCTTTAGACAAATAAGCACCCGCCCCACCTCCATAAGGGCTTCATAAGAGAACAAGTTTTCTTCTCAGTCATTTGGTGGCTAAACATAAGCCAACCTTAGCTTTTTATTCCATCTTTATTTATCCTTGAATCATTCATTATTTAACTATAAGGTTTTTTTCTCAGATCCAGAAAGAGGTTAGTATAATACCAGATTGGTTTTCTGAAACTCAAAGAGATTCATTCATCAGAACCTCCTGGTCTTACCTGCATGCACTAACACCAAGTTAAGCAAATGCTGAGTTCTGAGACACACTGAGCTCTTGCTAGACTCTGTCTAGCTTTTAATCACTGGCCAATGTCAGCTTTTTAAATGTTAATTTGTATTGGCTTTGCAGTAAGTTTTAATCTGTTTAGCAAGTTCCTGAACTCACAACTGTCCTTTGTCCAGTACTTTTGGCTGCTGTTAAACATGCCATTATTTTCTTAATATTCCAATTCCCACCCCCTTACCACATTCCACTAACTTTAAGATCACTTTGCTATTAATCTCATGGCTTCTCTAAGAATATTACCACAGGGCTGGTAAGATGGCTTCAATGGGCAAAGGTGCAGCCTGTCAAATCTAGGGACTTGAGTTCTATCCCTAGGACCCACAGGATGGAGGGAGAAGACTCCAAAGAAAGTTGTCCTGAGACTTCCTTATTCAAGTAGAACTAGTGCATATGCATGCCACCACACACAAATAAACAAACACTAACTGTAACTTTTGATTGCTGTTACATTGTGTACACTTTCCCTCCCAGTATTTTATTGAGAATGTTACTAGATTCTTACTGAGTCATCCCTGCAGTTCATACACATACACTTGCACGCCTGCGCACATGCTGCGCGTATGCACACACACACACACACACACAC